TAAAAATTGTCCAAATCCTCTATTCTAATAAAATTATAAATATAACAAATTTTTATTTAAAATATATAAAATGAACAACTTTGACACGCTATTTGCAAACATAAACAGAAATAATATAAATCCACCTCCCGAAATTGAAGAAGTATTAAACTTTTTTAATTCTAAAAAGCCTATACGCGATCATAACAGATGTCATGCCTATATGATATTCAGATATTCCGTTGCAAAGGAATGCAAGAGAATAGGAGAATTTAATGCTAACCTTATAGGCCGAGTCACGAATTACTTATGGAAAAATTCTACAACACATCAAAAGTTGGAATACTCTAGTCTAGCACGGAGAGTAAAATCTCATTAAATTAAAATTAATGAATTACTTTCTTACTCAAACTATGAAAGTACGTGGTAAATTTATATATATACATTTTTATTTATTTTTTTAACGACTAATGGGTCTCCTCTTTATTTATATATGATAAAATTTACATAGTAAATGTAAAGTTATATAAAAAGAATTCTATCCAACTCGTCGTCACCTAAAAGGAAATCGATTCCCACTACCGTCTAAATTTTGATACCTGAATAATACGATTTTAAATAATAATTTTTTTATTACTTTCAAATTTAGATCTAAGTGTTATATTAATGTCTTCGTTACTGAAATCCCTTTTCGTTTATTTTAGTATTTTCGATTATATTTAATTTATTTATCAACATTTCTTTTCCCATTTTTAAAAACCTATCCATTCTTTCTTTCCAGCATTTTTTCAATTGAATCTGGAATTTCCGCATGTCGTTAAAATAAGTTTCTTGACGATAGGAACATCTTCTATTAGTATTTTGTTTAAGGTCTCAGGGTACAAATAATATTATTCTTAAAATTTACATGCACACAAATATGACTATGATAAATATATTATTATATTTAATTATGTATTATATGATCATTTTACGCAAACACAAACACTTTCGTTATATAATTCAATATAGTTTTATTTATTTGAGAGAAATATATTTAATTATATTCTTTATTTTTATCAATTTTACCAATTTTTTTTTTTGACTAAAGACTATACGAATAATGAACAAATTTCTTCAACTGATGCTAATAAAATATTTCGTCACTACACAAATTAACAGAAGATGCCGTGTAATATTTTAAATATTTCTTTATTTGCAAAATGATTATACATTAAAAGTTATAGTCAAAATATCCTTTCCAATAAAAAATGGGATCGCTATAGTTTTTACCCAATTTCAAGGATTGGCACTTCCCCATATTACAAAATATTTTCAAGCTTCATCCTGGAAAGATCTAGAAAAATCTAGAAAAATTTAGAAATAACATCATTTAATGAAAATAAAAACTAATACGTTGATTATGTTTTTTTATATTTCATTATAATATCCTGTAAATAATTTGTATAAATACACTAATGAGTATTTCCACAGTATCACTATAAAACTTTATTATTTAAATTAAAACAGAAGCGCTCCTAGACTCTTGTTGATACTCAAATCCAAATATTATAATTGATACTCAAATGTATTAAAAATTCCTTTTCCATGTGATTTGGTTTGGAGGCATCTATCTAAGCTTTGCTCGTTAATATAAGTTATTGCCAACCAAAAATTTGTTAGTTAACATAATTACAAAAAACTGGCCAGCAGAAATAATCTTTAAATTCTCAGTTGGCTTATAATTTTTCCTTGAGGAGTATTGAAAACCAGATTTAGTATATACAAGTTAGAAAAATTAATTTTTACGATTAGCAATAAAACATTTTACTGTGGATTTTTAGAAAGAAAATGAACAAATTATGTACATAAAACAATTGTTTACCTTATTTAAATAAGTATAATATTGGATCGTTCTGAAAAAAAAAATAACAAAGTCTTATACCTCTTTTTAAAAAAGTGGTTGAGGGAAGACAAAAAATATTTTTGTTAATTTGTAATGACATTAAATATTTTGGAATAATTGTGTTGTGTTTTAATATAATCTTAATAATAAATTTTCAATAATTATATAATTTAACTTCCAATTAAATATATTGAACTTAATTAAAGATAAATATATGATAAAATTTTTCTTTATTAAAAAAATTTCGTTACATAAGTGCGTGGCCTTTTATGATTATTATTATCATCATGAAAATTTTTTTATCATGATAATATTTGTTGTGAAATGACAAGATATATTAAATGTGTATAAAAAAATATTTTGAAAAAAACCAAAACAATTGAGGAATTATTCATTTGATTTATTTTTTCGACAGAAAATATTTATTTATATTATAGTATCTCGTTTAGGAAGGTTAGTTTGACTCAAAAAGTTAAGGAGCATTTTATCTTATTTAATTAACTTAGATTGTATGTCATATATATGTTGATTCGTAAGCAACAATATGTAACCAGTTGATAAATGACAATTGGAATAGATTTGATAATTATATGCACAATGGATTATATAATGGAATATATATATAATAAATAATTATCATATTTATTTTCTTTTAAGTTTTTCAAATCCTGAATCAATATTCTCTCGCCTTTTTTTTTTCTGATAAGATATGAGCTATTCAATGAGATTGTTATTGGGTGGTTGAGACATTTCAATCTTGGTTGTGATTGTAATTGTTGTGAATTTGGTTGTAATTGTTGTAGTTGTTGTTAATTGGTTTAGAAGATGAAGTAGAAGAAGTAGAAAAGAAGGTGGAGTTAATGGTTATTGTTGTAGTGGTGGTGGTGATGTTGGTAAAATAGATTGTGATAAAAGTGGAGCGAATGATGATTTCCTTTACTGTAAGAAGAATTATTAATCATTGGATAACTTTGTCGTTTATTATTAGCCGTAAGATTATTATAATGACATAGTAGAATAATGACAAGATAATGTTTTTTTTTGTCTTATAATCGCAGAATTTGAATTATTATTTAAAGAACATGCAATTATTAAAAGTTATTATTATTAAAATTTTATTATTATTATTATTAAAGATAAGTAACATAAAAACCTGATCAAATTATTTATGTCCATAATAAATAATAATTATTATTATTCTTTCTTTCTTTCGATTTTCGTTGTTTTTTTTTTGAAAATCGCGAAAACAAAAAAATTATTTCAAGAAAAATAAATAATTAATTTTGAATGGGTATGTGCGTGTGGTCTTTTTTATGCATTTAGTAAATAAATATATTATATTTTATATGATTATTTATTTTAAAATAATAGAAATAGAATAAAAAATGAATATACAATAGGCTAAATAATCTTTGGATTACATATATATGAAATATTTAAATAAAATTATTTTATCCCAAGAATTCAAAAACATACTGAGTTTATTATAATAGATTATATGGAATACTGATAAAAAAAAACGACAATAGCGAAAAAATAGAGAAACAGTACTTTATTTTTAGAAAAAAAAGAAATACCACTTACTTATATGCAAATGTTAAATCTCAATATTGTTATCTATCTTCCTCTTCTTTTTTTCGATTCTTCTAAAAAAATAATAATTTATGTTTATGATGAAATATAATCATGCTTAAAGAACAAAAGAAAATTATTTGGAATTATGCTGATATCATCGGTAAGCAATATTTTTAGACGTGGTGGTAAAATAAAATATAAATATAAAAATTAAAAATAAAATAAAGATAATAAAGATAATTTAAACCGATACACGCATAACATGAACATAATAGATAGATGACTATACTTTCAAATATATATATATATATATATATATGTTTTAAAAGAAACGTTTGTTGTGAGTATGTAAGAGAATACTTTCATTCCTGATTACTCTTTTCTTTTTTTTATTCTTCATCTGACATTACTAATCTAATCTAAAATAAAATAAAATAAAAATAATAAAATAAAATAATAAATAAAATGATAAATAATAATATTTAAAGTGATAGTATTTATATCTATTTAATTTAATTTTTTTACAGTATCAAATATTTTTATATACTGTAACTTTTTATATTACATTATCAGAACTAATAATAATAAAAAACGAGCAGTTTCACGAAGGATTAGCAAAAGTATAAATATGGAACAAAGATCATCAAGCTGTTTGTTTTTTATGTTGTATTTTTTTTTTCGTAATACTATTATATGTAATTTTGTATCTTTGTTGTTTACACTTTATTTTGTTCATTTCATTTTATACATATTTGATACATTCCGGATAAATTTAATATATAAAAAGTATAAACAATATTAAAATATATATTTTGTATATCGTAATTTTCAAAGCAAAAAACCTTACATATATTAATGTATTACATATTATACTTAATGATATTAATGCATTATCGGTAAATTGGAATCCTATAAAAATCATTCACGAAATTTAGAATGTTTTAAATAATTTCGAAATTATATATATGTATAAATTTAGTAGCAGAGTATAAGTATATCCGAAATGTTTAAAATCATTAATAAAGTAGACTCTTAAAAAATTAATAGGTTGAAAATGAGAAATATAAAGAAAGTTGAAGAAATTATAAAGAGATTTGTACTCAGAGACTTAAAAAAAATACTAAAGAGATTCAAGAAAATAATTTTAACAAGCGTGTGGAAATTCCCGATTCAATTGAGAACATACTAGAAAGAAAGAATGGATAAGTTTTTAAAATGAAAAAAAAAAGGTAAATGGTATTAAAAAAAAAATTAAATATAATCGAAAATACCAAAATAAACGAAAGGAAAAAAAGGGTGAAACTATTGGATAATAGTAGTAAAGTATAATATAACACTAAGATCTAACTTAGTACTATTCAAGTATTTTTTATTTAGACGGCAGTGGTAATCGATGCGAGTCGGGTAGATTTATTCTTATATAACTTAATATTTACTATGTTGTTCATTTAAATAAATAAAGAGGAACCACGTTAGTCGTTAAAAAAATCGAATAAAAAATTTTACCACATACTTTCATATTGCATATTTAGATAATAAATCTGATTAAGAAAATATTTCATTAATGAAATTTTACTCTCTGCGTCAGATCATAGTATTCTGCCTTTTCTTGTGTTGTGGAAGTTTTCCATAAGTGAAAAGTGGCTCGGCCTATAGCATTAAATTCTCCTATTCTGTTGCATTCCTTTGCAACCGAATATCTAAGTAATAAATAGGCATGGCATCTGTTTATGGTCGCGCGTGAGCCTCTTAGAATTAAAAAAGTTTAGTACTTCAATTTCGGGAGACGGATGTATGTTATTTCTGTTTATGTTTGTAAGTAGCGGTTCAAAGTTGTTCATTTTAGATATTTATATAAAAAATTTGTTAAGGATTATTACTTTTATAATTTTACCTACTATAATGATTCGATGCGAATTTTAGAAAATTTGATTTGTATTGAGGTAACGCGAAGGTAACCAATGTCACGGGGGATGAGAGAAGATGACCGTGTTACTATTTGGATGAATTATC